GAAACCACTGTGGAAGCCTGTATGACACTTTCTCAAAAAGTTGGAAATAGAAATACCATTTGACCCAGCAATTCCACTGCTGGAAATATACCCTAAAGAAACCAAGTAGATATATGCACACCCATGTTTATTGCTGCTTTGTTCACAATAGCAAAGAGCTGGAAACAACCCAAGTGCCCATTAACAAATGAATGGACAGAGAAGCTGTGGTATATTCACACAATGGAATATTATGCAGCACTGAAAAATAAAGAACTCATGAAATATTATACAAAATTGGTGACCATGGAGGACACCATGCTGAGTGAAATATCTTGGTCAAAAAAGATAAATCCTGCATAATGCCACTGTTATAGAACAAGACTGATAGGAGGTTGGGGAAAAACTAAGAAAAGAGGGGTAAACAATGTTCATGGCATTGAAACAGATGAGGGAGAGAAATGTATAAAAGGAATATATGATTAGATATTATTGACATGAAAAGAGTCCAGAAGAAGAGTTGCACAGTAAAGTGGACTGGGGGGCTGGGATGGGGTGGAGGGGATGTCTAACAATGAAGAATTTTTTTCCAAAGAAAAAAGTTAACTGGGGGAGGGGGAGGGACAGGTAGGAAAATGTGCAAAATGAATGCGTAGAAATCCAAGTTTTCTATAAACTTTCATTAAAATCTCAATTAAAAAAGGGGGAAGGGGAGAACATTGGTTCTTACAGATGTCCAATACCCTATTTTCTGTTTTGTTCTCACTGTTATTACCTTTTAACCACCAGTATTTTTATCAACTCAACACTGTACATAGTACATTTAACAAGAAGATGAACTGAAAAAAAATTCCCATCAGCTGGTTGTGAGCGTGAATCATAGTAACCTGAGTATGTGGTAAACTGGAGGCAAACTGTATGCTTACAATTCTGACCCCGTCACCCTGTTCAGAACCCTCCTGCACTAAAGCACTGGTTGTGCTCGCAGGCCTTGCCCACTGTGCCCCCCTTCCCTCCCCACCAGCTTCCCCTCTGTCTATCTTCACTCAGTCTCTCCATTTTTGCCCCAGCGGTCTCCTCCATCTTCTCCCCAGATACCAGGAGCGCTTCCCCCCTCAGGGGTGGAGTGGGGATGTCTTTGTCGAGTGGTTCCTTCCGGCTGGTCACCCACACTGCTGGGCCTTCACCACCTTCGGGGCCCTTTAAGGAGGTCTCCCCATGGCCTTATCTGAACAGAATACCTTCCTCCAAATGCATCTGTGCTCCCGCCCCTGCTTCCCGGGTCTTTCTCCACAGTAGTCACGGCTCTCTGAGACACCTCGCATTGGAACTATGTATTGTGTTTGCTGTCTGGCTTCCTCACAAGGATGTAAGGTCCCTGGGGATGGCCTTTTTTTTTTTGCCTATTTCCTCTGCTGTAGCCACATCTGCACAAAAGCCACAACTCCATGCCAAGCCCTGACTTGACACTTTAGACTTGTTTTATCTTCCTTGATAGGTGTCCTTTAAATGGTGGCGAAGTTTGATGCATGCTGGGCTGCTAACTAAAAGGTCAAGGGTTCAAATCCATCAGCTGCTCCTTGGGTGATAGATGGAAAATCTCCTCCTATAAAGATTTACAGAAACCCAATGGAGGGTCTCCATGAATTAGAATTGACTCCATAGCATTGGGTTTGACTCTTTGGCAATCTTGACAGTAATATAAGAAATATTAGAGCACAAATATATACAAAGTACACTCATACAATGGAAGTCCTCAGCACAGTGCTTAGCACGAAGTAACTGTACAATCAGTGCTGTTATGTGTAACATTCACTGTTCAGAAGCGGAAAGAGCCCTCATGGCAAAGCCGTTAATAAACTCTCAGCTGCTAACTGAAAGGTATTTTGAACTGACCAGCGGCTTCACAGGAGAAAGATGTGGCAGTCTGATTCCCATAAAGATTACAACCTTGGGTGCTTTATGGAGGAGTTCGACTCTGTCCTATAGGGTCGCCAAGTCAGAATCAACAGCAACTGGTTTGGTTTAGGATACACACAGAAGTGGGAACTGATGCACACCATGTTTATTGTGGCTTTGTTCACAGTAGCAAAGAGTTGGAAACACCCAAGTGCTCATTAACAAACGAATAGATAGAGAAGCTGTGGTATATTCACACAATGGAATTCTACGCTGCATTGAAAAACAAGGAACTCATGAAATATTATACAAAATGGGTGACCCTGGAGGACATTATGGTGAGTGAAGTATCTCAGTCACAAAAGGACAAATACTGCATAGTGCCACTGTTGTAAAACGGAACTGACATTGGGGTTGGGGGGAGACTGAGAAAGATGAGATAAAATATGAATACTGCATTGAAACAGATGAGGGAGAGAACTGTTTAAAAGGGATATATGATTAGGTATTATTGTCATGACAGAACAAAGGCTGCATAGTGAAGTGGACTTGGGAGGGACTGTATAATAATGAAAAAATTTTCCTTTTACTTTTCAAAGAGAAGAGAGAACTAGGGAGAAGGGTGGGCAGGGAGGAAAGTGCAACAATGAATGAATAGAAATCCAAAGTCTCTGTAAAGTTTCATTAAAATTAATAATAATTTTTTTAAAAAGGGGGGAAAAAGTGGGAACTGAGGTTCAGAGGGGCTAAGGGACCTGCCCAAAGTCATTCAGTTGAGAAGAGGTATCACTGGGATACAAATTCACATCAGTATCATTCCAGAAGTCATGTTCCAAACCACAATCTAAGACCTGCCACAGTGTTGGGAAGAATGACAGAGACAGAATACCGTGATCAGGTCTGAGTCCAAAGTCCAGAGTTCAAGTCTTGTCTCTGGCATAAAATCCATATGTGACCTTTCACTTTCACCCTTCTTAGTTTTCCTACGGAAAATTAGGGAAGCTGTTCCCACACTGTGACCAGAGAACAAAATGGTTGTGTGGGGCAAATGAATTAGCTGAAATGACAGCACTCTGGAGATGGAGATCCAAAACTATTTCATCCCAAGAGCTGCAGTCTTGACATCAAACATCAAAACTAGGTTCTAAAGGTCATACGACCAGCGCCTGAACTTCGAAGAATGAAATCGTGAGTCCATAATGTTTCCCCTCCCTCAACATCACTCACCCCTATCCCTGTACTGTCTTCCTCATCTTTCACTTCTCAACTCAGATGAAGTCCCCACTGACCCCAACCAGGTGCCATGTCCTTTCCCACCCTGCCCTGTTCACTCAGAGCAGTTGCTGTCTGGAGACAAGCCTGTCTCCCCCACTGGACTCCAGGAGGGACCCCTGGCTTATCTGTACCGTCCATCATAGAGCTGGGCACTGTGCAGAATTCAGAAAAGAGCAGCTAAATGTAATGGATGAACAATTCATGGAGGTTTCCTCAGCCATATTGCCTCAAATTCCCTTGTCCTATGCTCCCACCAAGCCAAATGCACTACTGTGGAGCTCATTATAAGCCACAGGATTACAAGTTTGAGAGGCTGTACATATTTACCAAAGGAAATTGTCAATGCTACTCCTCTAGGCTGGCTGTTGAATTCAAACCACCAACCTTTGGGTGAGCAGTCCAAGAGGACACACGCTAAACCCATGCTCCTACAGACACCTATGGTAATTATACCACAAAACCCACTGCCGTCTTGATTCCAACTCAACGCTACTCTGTCGCTGAGAACTGCCCCACATGGTTCCCAAAGATGCAAACATTAGCGAGAGGAGATTGCCACAACTTTCTTCTGCGGAGCAGCTGGTGGGTTCTGTTAGGTGCCCAGTGATTGACCACTGAGCTAACAGTGCTCCTTGCTCGAGATATTTTTAATTTTTTAAAATTATTTTATTTCAGTGTGTGTGTGTGTGTGTGTACTGTCAAACAGGATCTGACTGGTACAGGAGGAGACTGTCCCTCCTTCTCCAGCAGAGCATCTGGTGGATTTGAACCGCACACCTATGGGATTGCAGTGTACCTCGATTTTTAAAGTGGTTCACTATTTTGAACACGAGAGAAAAAATATTTTCTCTTGCGCTGTAAAGCCACTGAAAACCCGCTGAAGGCCAGCTCTGAGTGGGCACATAACAACAACAATCTATTCTGAATGTTTGACCTGCCCTCTGGTTAAGCCCTGAATAACCCACCTCTGTTAACCTTCCTGACCGCTGCCCTCGATTAGACGCCTCCTTTAGCTCCCAGTCAGGGCCACCCTAGGCCAACAATGAGTCATTGCACAAGTTAATGAATGAATGAATGGACAAATAGTATTTTGAGGACAGATTGAAAACAGATTAAGTAATGTCCCCTCTAGAATGAAAACTCTCCTTGTGCCAGATTCCCAAGCCATCCCTCCATGTCCGGGACTCGCCCCAGAGCCACGCTCCTAACCCAAATACATTTTCCCACCCCCTGACTCTCTTATCCCCGCCCCAAGTGAAATAAGGACAAGCCAGGGTCCTTAAACGGTGATGTACAAGAACTTCCCAGTCCGACGAAGGACCCTGCCTAGTCTCTCTCTGACCTCACCCCCAACTCGGGCACCAAAAGCCAAATTCATTGCTAAGGAGTGCATTCTGACTCATAGTGACCCTGCAGAACAGGGAAGGAATGTCCTAGGTTTGCACAGCTGTAATCTTTACAGAAGGAATCGACCCTGGAGCTGCCGGTGCATAGAAACGCAAACTTTGCAGTTAACAGCCCAGAGCTTCCACCTCTGCGTAGTGACTCCTTTCCGGGTAAGTCCCTCCCAAATCCTTTCCTTCCCCAAGACTATTGGTTTTCTTGGACGTCCATCGACACGCGCTCTCGCCACCTATTGGCTAGAATTTTCCAGGCGTGACCCTACCTACGTTTCCCCTCTCCACTGGGCTGCTTACAAGCCCCTCCCCCAGGAACCCTCCCTATTGGCTGAAGGACTTGACCGGTTCGCGCTGTCATTGGCCAGGAGTAGACGTCCACTACCAGAGCAACCACCTGAGAGGGGTTAGAGAATGGAAAGGCTTGGAGAGACATGAGGTCAGACTTACACTGGGCCGGTGGGAGGCAGACATAGTTCTTGAAGAACTCACTTCGGCGGGCTCCTTCCTTAATGCGGTTGGCGAGTGGCTTGCTGACTTGCCGGATGCCCAGGTAGAGCAGCTTCGCCATAGGGAACGCGCCCACCACCATCTTGGCGGTCGCACGGGGCACGCGCAACCTTCCTGACCGGGCGGGGCGCCTAGTTCTCTCCACTCCTCCCCCGCCCGTTCGTAACCCTGCGTGCGTGCGTGAGTACGTACATACGTGCGTACGCTCGGGAGGAGCTGCCGGCGGCGCCTGACGTCACGTCGTCCGTTCTCCGAGTGTGCGAAGATCAAAGCGGAAGTGGCCTGATCTTGGGGGGTGGTACCGGTAAACGGTTGCCCCCCGGGAGTTTAAATTCCCACGCCCCCTGCGGCTGACGTCACCGTGTTCCTTCGTGACGTCACATGCCGACTTGGTCCAAGAGGCACTTAACTGGGTTTAATTTAGTCTTAAGTGCCACTTCTTTAGCATTTTTCCTGGAACTAGGAAAGCAACTGGCTATGTTGGAATCCCAGCCCTTCCACTTACCCCCAACACACATTAGGCGAATGACTTACCCTCTCTGGTCATTGATAGTCCCTGCTACATAGTGATTCCTGGGGACTATAGAAATGAAATGAGTGGACCAAAGTTTGAGTGGTTTGGTGCTGGACACTCAGTAAGCGCTCAGTGTTGTTGCTGTGACACGGAGTCAGTTCCGAGTTATATCAACGCTATGTACAACAGAATGAAATAGTGCTATATTTTAACTCATTCTTGCATGCATTGTGTTAGACCAGCTCATTGAGGATGTTTCCTTTTTTCCTGACCTGCCAAGTATGATGTCCTTCTCACGGGATTAGTCCCTTTTCAACAATGTTTGTCTATGTATATGAAACGAAGTCTTGCCATTATTTGACAGGCATTAGCTTTGTGGCTTTGTCAATGTGCTGTATGAAGGAACCTGAGTTGCTGTGATGTTGAACCATGTACTATTGGGGTATCAAATACCAGAATGGTCTCCCAATGTGGACAGTGTTTGGTGGAGCTCCCAGCTGTAAAACTGGTTTGGAAGCAGGAGTGGCATCCACTTCCTAAACCACATGCCTCTGGAAACTCTGTGAACTTGGAGAAATGACGATAGTTATGGAAAGGCATTAGGTCTTTTGTTCATAGAGTCGCTATGAGTTGCGTTCGACTAGACAACAATCAATAACAACATTCGCTTTGTGTGCCTTTAAGTCAATTCCAACATACAGCAACTCTACAGGACTAAGTAAAGCTGCCTCATAGGCTCCCCACTCCCCCTTTTTTAACACACAGAGTTTCTAAGACTGTAATCCTTACAGGACATGACTGGCACATCATTTCCCACAGAAGGGTTGGGGGATTCGAACCATTGACCTTTCAGTTAGTGGAGCATTTAACCTCTGCTATACTAGCACTCTTTATTATCATCGTTATTGCTAAGTCAATCATAAAAATGCATTTCACTTCCAGAAGCAGCTAATCCAACCCTTCCTTAAGGAACTGGCTAGGAAATTGAAGCCAAGAGAGGGGCGGGGGCTGGCACAAAATCTCTCAGTCTTCAGTAGGGGATAGCCCAGCATCTGTGGCTTCTTGGCCAGCAATACCATCCCCTTCACAAGTGGCCCCACATCCTCCACTGGGGGTCGAGACACCCTAGGGAGCTGGCTCTGGAGGAAGTTTAAGGACATGTCCCAGGCTGTCCTCTTTCACCCAGCAGGGAGCAGAATCATATAAACAAGGTCAGGAAGGGATTGAGTGACATTCCGGGTAGTGGAGAGCTGATGGGTAAAGGAGAGAGTTGCGGAAAGGCAGAAGAAGACAGCAAGGCAGAGAAGTGGAGTCTGGGAACCAAAAAATATTGTGGATGCAAATTCAGAGAATTCAGGCATTCTCCATCATCTGCTCTGATCCATCGGGTAACCTGTGTCAAGTCCTTGGGGGGTCAAGGGACCTTTGTTTCTCCATGTGTAAAAATGGTGCTGGTGTGTATGATCCCAGATATTTAAAATAACTAAGAATCCCAATCCCTGCTGGCCTGGCCAGGCTCCTGCCCATTTGACAGGCTGGCTAACTGAGGCCAAAAACTGAAAAGCATTCATCCAGAAGTTCGAGGGGCAATGAGGGTGAGTTGGAGAGGCAATGAGGCAGTTGAGGCTGATATTTCTTGAAGTCCGGCCTGGTCTAAAGACTGAAGGAGGAGGATGAGGCCCCCACTCAGTGATGGGCTTCAAGTGAGTCTCAAAAATATCCAATCATTCTTCTACTCCTAAAATCGTGCCCGCCCTGAACACAGCAGGGCTCAAAATATATCTCCAAGGGACCTCTGGTGGCCTACTGGCAAGAAGCTGTACTGCAATCCCAGAGGCGCACGGTTCAAATCCACCAGATGCTCTGCCAGGGAAGGAGGGACAATCTCCTCCTGTACCTGTCAGATCCAATTTGACGGTACACTCACACACAAAAATAATAAAATAAATTAAAAAAAAATATATCTCCATGGACTTGGTGGCCCATTGGTGGTCCAATGACTCAGTGCTTGACTGCCCACCCAAAGGCTGGTAGTTCAAACCCATCCAATGGCTTCAAGTGAGGAAGATGAGGCAGTCCGCTCCTGTGAAGATTTCAGCCCAGGAAACCCTCTGGGGCCTCAGCCCTCCTGGTAGCTTGGCTTCATCCCGGATCCCATGCATGGCTGTGTAAACAGACTCCAAGGGCCAAGTTCTACTGAGTCATAAAGGGTCACTATCCATTGAACACCCAGATTCATCATTTGCTTAGATTCATCATTTGCTTTTGGTTTTCCATAGGAACCAGATTGAGACCCCTGTATCTCTCCATGCCTTATAAGCAGGAGTGGCATCCACTTCCTAACAACATGCCTCTGGAAACTCTATGAACTGTGAGAAATGAGGATAGTTATAGAAAGGCTTCAGGTCTTTTGTTCATAGGGTCGCTGTGATTTGTGCCCAACTCATCAATCAACAGTAGCAGCAATCTCCATGCCAGTAGCTTCATGGTGATAAAACAGGGTGGAAAAAACACTAGTCCCCAAGATCCCAAGCCTCCTTTCCCCTTCTCCCCTTAACACAGTATTTCACCACCATCACTTCCAGTATCTCCGTACCCTCCCTACCCACCTCTCCTCCTAAAAGTCACTTTCCTCTAAATGCATCTTTTTTTTCCTCTCCATCCAATTCCCCTCCTCCCACGTCTTCCTTTCTCTGAGAAGGGTTTCCAGGAACTAATTGAAACTTCTGGGGGATTAGGGGGGTGAGGTTCAAATCTATTCAGGAGCTTAGAGCCTGTTTACACACTCATAGCATGAGGCAAGGAAGGAAACCTACCAGGAGGGGTGAGGCTGGTCTAGAACTGGGAGCTTCTTCCCACCCTCCAGCCTGGTGATCCCTGAGGGCCAGGACCCAATCCATCAGAGCAGCAGCCCTGGCCATCCTCAGGCGTGGGAACAGAGGCAAGTAAGGCAGGAGACGCGGGAGCCCAGGGTGGCCCCACTGCTGACTCACCGGCTCTATGAACTTGAGCTAATCACTTGACCTCTCTGGTGACCACATTGGAATAGGGCCTGGGACATTCTCAGAGGTCCTTCCAGCTAGGCCCCCGGGTCACCGTTCCCACCATTTCCCCCAAGATGGCTGAGGGGTCTGGTTACACAATCCCCCATGCCTCCTCCATCACAGCGGCCCTTTCAGGGAAATCCCAAAGCTGACCAATGTTCTTGTTAATGCCCAGTCCAGTCACCAGCATCTCCCACTGGGCTGGTGAAGCTGACTCCTCTCTGGGCTCCCAGCTTCTGTCCTGACTGTCCTTATGCTGACCCCAGGCACTGGATCCTGTTAAGTCAGCCATGAGCATCCTGCTTTCCATGGATTGAACAGTTTCCCTCCAAAACACATGTAGGGAGCCCTGGGGGCCTAGTGAGTGAGCTGTTGCGCTACTAACCAAAAGCTGGGTGGTTTGGATTCACCACTTGCTCCTGGTGAGGGGAGAGTGGAGGGAGGAAGAGGAGCAGTCTCATTTCTGCTATTTACAACCTGTGAAAATCCACTGGCAGTTCAGCTGTGAGCTGATGCGACTTGAAGGCACATAAGAATAAAATATGTTTATGTAATGATAAAATCTAATAGCTGTGTAAAGATCTCCCTTGATCTGATGAACCAAATAATGTAAAAGGATTAAGGGTGGAATGCAGCACTCCTTACTTCCATCCCAGTGTGCTTCTCTAGGGTGTGGCTAGTAAAATACAGGAAGAAAAGTGAGCCAGGCCGGGAGGAGGGGAAGACAGGAAAACCTCTGAACTATCAAGAAATTGCATCCTTGGAGGCGAGGATGGGGAGGCATCATCTCACGTACTTTGGGCATGTGCTGGGAGAGGCTTTTCCTTGGAGAAGGACAGCATGCTTGGGAAGGTGAAGGAGAGGAACACCCGCAACCAAGGGGATCGACGCAGCAATGGGCTTGAGTGTGCCAGAGATTGTGAGGTTGACGCCAGATAGGACGGGGTTCAGATCTGTTGTTCATAGGGTCGCTAATGAGTCATAATCTACCAGACGGCACCTAACAACCACCACGACCAAGAAATAAACACTGGTGGAGTGTGTCCTTTTGGACCGGAGCCCCTGCACAAGGAAGCCCCTTAATACCAGGGAAGGACAGGACACAGGGAGATCACCAAGGAATGCCTGGTCTAAAAAGGGTGAGGAAACAAGACTTGATTCCACAACACAGAGAGAGCTGGCTTCCCTCCCCCTGGGGCTGGCTTCCTGAATTTGGATTTCTAACAAAAGTATTGAATATACCATGGACTGCGAGGAGAACAAACAGGTTTGTCTTAGAGAGGGTGAGACCTCACTGCTCCTTGGAGGCAAGGATTCTGAAGCTTTATCTGACATATTTTGGACATGTTGCAAGGCGGGACCAGTCCTTGGAGAGGGACATCATACTTGGGAGGGTGGAGGGACCGTGCAGGAGAGGAAGACCCTCAGTGAGATGACTCAGTGAATGGGATAGTGGAGGTAGGTGTGTCAGAGATAATAAGATTGGCACAGGACAGAGCAGGGTTTAGGGCTGTTGTACCTAGG